TAGTACTACTACGACTACTACTACTACTACTACTACTACTACTACTACTACTACTACTACTACTACTACTACTACTACTACTACTACTACTACTACTACTACACATACAACAATTACAACAACTACTACTGCTGATGCTTCTACTACTACTACTACTACTACTACTACTACTACTACTACTACTACTACTACTACTACTACTACTACTACTACTACTACTACTACTACTACACTATACAACAATTTACAACAACTACTACTGCTGCTGCTGCTTCTACTACTATTACTACTACTACTTCTACTACTACTACTACTTCTACTACTACTACTAGTACTACTACGACTACTACTACTACTACTACTACTACTACTACTACTACTACTACTACTACTACTACTACTACTACTACTACTACTACTACTACTACTACTACACATACAACAATTACAACAACTACTACTGCTGATGCTTCTACTACTACTACTACTACTACTACTACTACTACTACTACTACTACTACTACTACTACTACTACTACTACTACTACTACTGCTACTACTACTACTACTATTATAACTACTACTACAACTACTACTACTACGAATACTATTACTTCTACTACTACAGCTACTTGTTCTCCTCCTACACCTCTTAGCATATCAACATTATATTGTTGTTAATATCTCATCAATGTTTTTTAAATATTTTGGGGTCTCAATAGCGAAGTCCACAACCCATTGGCATGTTCCTACCTCTAATTCTGTCTTTCGTTTCACCTGTGAAGTTGTTTACAATTACTTTCTTGAGGTATATAGTATTTTGAGTGACATTCTCGGTGTGAAAAGAGAAGAGGAGAGAGAGAGAGAGAGAAAGAAACACAGACTTGTATCAAGGAATAAATCCCTGTGCGATGAAGTCAATCTTCTTGGCTTGAACATTGTAAACTCATTTATAGTTAGCAGACGTAACTAACTAACATTTCTGTGTAAGTTGTTCAAATTTGGCTTGCAGCCTTTTAATGATCATGACGTTGCAAAAATTTTTTTTCTATTTAAATATCAACAAATATCTAGTTTTTATGTTGGCCTTATTTGCGTTCAGTTAAAAAAACAAAAAAAAAAAAAAAAAACACAAAACATACACGGATTTCGAGCAAAAAACCTTCATACTTATAGTTCAGTAACAGGAACTTTTCAAAATATCAAACTGCACAAGTGCCATAGGGGTTTTACTCTCACGTGTCACCCCCAGCATTATTTAACCCGTGTGTTACATATTTGTTTTATTGTATGCAGAATAGGCTATCGTAAAATCACCACGTATAGCTGCACATGTAAATAGATTTCCAAACAGTTTCCACATGTGTGTCAATTGCTGTATATATTCTTTTTTTTAGCGGTACACAAATTAAAAGATACACAAAAATCCCGTTTTTAAAAAGAATGGCCACTTTAAGAAAACACCAAAATCTGTGCGATTCCAATGTCTAAAATCATAAAGATGTGAAAAGAGTAAAGGCCAAAGAAACAGTTTGTGTTGAGTTGCTCATGAATTTTCAAGATATAATTTAATATGTGAGGTCACGATTTTTAAGACGCACTGTAATTATCCATCGGCATCGTTATTCTCTCAGTGCTGTTTTGCTTGTTCATGTTTCAGACTCGGTACGCCAATCAGCAGGTGGCAACGACACTTCATATCTGAATCTAATCATTGGCCTGTTTGTAGGCGTATTGGTGCTTCTGCCGGTCTTATACTGTCTGCGCAAGAAAAAGCCTACAAGGTCTCATGCAGAGGAGAGAAATCGTCGTAAGCCATGAGATACTGAAAGATTACACATCTCAATATTTCACGTCTGACAAATAAATTATAAATCATGTATGTGTGTATATACATATTTATGTTTACATGTATGTGTGTGTGTTTGTGTGTGTGTGTTTGTGTGTGTGTATTTGTCAGTCAGTGGGTGCAACATAGGTACCTAGTTACCAGGTTAACTCATCCAAAAATCGAACAGTGTGGTGGTGTTGGGAAGACCAGGTTAGGGGGCGTAATCCTCTACCACTTACATGCATAAGAGCTATTTCCCTCTTCCAGCCATGTGACAGTTGTTGCCTCCTGCGCTGTTTCAAAGGCTGGGTTAGGGCATGTAAACATTCTGGTTAAAGTGCACCAAATAAGTAATAATTTTACTCCTATGTAAGGAATAAAAAGGTTCTCTTAATCAAGAACTTGAAGTGTATGTACAGAGCTGTTTAACAGACACACGTAGATGAATATGTTTGCTAGATATATATATATACACATATATATATATATATATACATATACGTCTGCGAATATATATATATATATATATATATATATATATATATATATATATATATATTTATGAATTTGACAAGTAAAGACCTATGTCTTCATAGAGATATAACTCCAGCAAATATTTACTGTTAGTGATCAGACGCTAATGAAAAGAAATGCATATAGATCTGGTCGCCATAGTCACTGTTAAATTGAATATGCAGTTATAATGTAATTTGAAAGTGTAATCCGTGTAGTGGTTGCCGTTTGAGAGTAGTTACCGTTGAAACAAATGATGATGCAACAAAATACAGAAAGGGTTTGTGATTTATAGTGTGCGTGTGTGTGTGTGTATGTATGTGTGTATGTGTGTGTATAAATATGTAAATAAGGCGTTTTTTGCTTTAAAGACCTACTTTACGAAATGTTGAGACTGCACCAGTCACTAATGTAATTAAGGGACTGCTTCACATTTCAGATTCATATAATATAATTACTTCGTTCATAAAAATAAAACCAGTAGATTGATAGGTGTTTCTGAGTCCCCCCCCCCCCTTTTCCCCCCACCCCCCCCCCCCCCCCCTCTTCCCGTAAATCCTTATATTTCGAGAGTCTGAATCTGGCACATGTTTGGGCATGCGCTTATGTGACCACGGACGTTAGCCATCATAAATCACCAGATGTTACAATCTCCAGTCATCATCGTCATAATTATCAACATCGAAAAGCGGGTTCTCAACAAAGTATCCATCATCATCAGGTGCCTGGCCGACTGGTGTGGGCGATCATGCCTCTACATAATCTGCGATCTCCTGCAGCATGTATCAGTTCGTGTGCCGACACACCTCCATGCCATGCAACAAGACTGTCAAGCATCTTCTCTCGTTGTCTTCCTCTATCTCTCCTTCCACATATCTTTCCAGTGGTCACAACATGTTCTATTTTCCCTCTTCTCATAACATCGCCGAAAAATGATGACTGTCTCCTTCTGATGTCTGTGATAAGTTGTCTTCAGGCTCCCGCCTCTTTCAAAACCTCTTGGTTGATCTTTTTGGCTGTCCAAGGTATTCTAAGTATTCTTCTGTAAAACCACATCTCCGAGACCTCCATAAATTGTTTGGCCTGCCTACCGATTGTCCATAATTAACAGCTATATGTTAAAACTGGATGTGTGTAGCAAGCAAGATAACTATCCACCCATAAGGTTTTCAAAGCCATTGCAGCTGCTTTGTCTTGCTTCGCGGATGTCGGTCTCAGAATCGTCTTTTCTCCTCCGGGAACTGGACTATCCGTCACGGTTCTCTGTGGGCCATCCTAAGAAATAATACGGCCAGTCTTGTCTTGTCTTGTCCACAATTGCCTCACAGCGTAGTGGGGAGTCGCAGTTTTCTATCCTGGGCCAGGTGTGTTGCATGTGTTGTTGTTAGTCCGTGTTGCCTCAGGATCTCTGATAAATTGTCTATCCATCGTACTCTCGGTCTGCCTCTTGCTCTAGGGCAGTAGTGCTGTTCGTTGTATGCTCGTAGAGGCAGTTGGTCGGTTTGCATTCGCATCAAGTGGCCAATTCACTCTTTTTGTTGCTTCTTTATGTATTGCAGGCATGGTGTGGTTCCTACAATTGCTCTAATGTTCTCGTCTACAATTTTAAGTTTCTACTTGTCATGGATTCAAGGTGTTTCGTCTTATAATTATACAAACAAATTATTACAGGCAATGACAAAGCATGTGCAAATTTCCACTCTTTAGTATTATGGGAAATTGGATACAGAAATTGACATTAGATGTAGTAAAGTAAACCAAGTATTGGGACAGCTAGCTCCCCTCTTACAGCATAAGACAATCCCAATCAGCACAAAGAGACATCTTTTTCAAAGCATATTTATTCCAACTCTGTGCTACCAGTGCCAGACATGGTTACTCAAACAAACCATAAAAGAAAATTAGTAACAACGGAAATGAGATGTCTGAGAAGGGCTGTAGGAGTGACCATAAAAGATAAGATCAGGAATGAGATCATAAGAGAACAAGTCGGCACAGAACCAATTCTGGATTACATACAAAGACAGCAAGTGAAATGGTTTGCCCACTTAGAGAGAATGCCTTGTGACACCATACCATACAAAGCATACATGGAAAGAGAAGAAGGACGTAGCGCACGGGGTAGACCAAGAACAAAATGGAAGGATAACATCAGAGAAACTCTACAACAGCACGATGTGCCCATGGTCGAGGCAGCCAGAAAAGCTAGAAACAGAACCTTATATCTCCCTCGACACCCACAGCGGTAAAAGAGGAAGTGAAGAAGAAGAAGAAGTATTATGTTAGTTACGTATCCTTTACAGGACGTTGCAGAACCAACCCCCAATAGTCCCTGGCTGTTGTGTGATTTTTCTTGGCAAATTTACGTCCAGTAGTTTGTCATTGCTTTCTGGACGGTCGGCTTTCTTGATACCCCTGTCGAAACCAACGCAAGGCATATGGCCAGCAGCCGGGATCGAATCCGGCATCCCCGGCATTACGACAGTTTAGACTTAGCCATAAAGCCGACACTCTTTAGTATAATAAACAATAATAACGGTTTTTATCTAGAAACCCAGTCAACGAAAGATGCTCTGATTTTATATATCTCCTATATGTCACCAGACGGTAAATATCGTGGACCTAAAGAAGCTAAAGATCCCCAAAAATATTGAACTCTTAAGTACACAGTTGTGAAAATAGTTATGTGTATAAATTCGTATGCTATTTGTTTTTTTAAAATATGTGCGTGTGAAAGTTGGAGAGAAACTGAAGACATTTAATGAAATTTTGCTGTCTTATAAAACACCTGTCTGTGGAGTATCATGAACCTGATAGGTCATGAGTTCCAGAAAGATGAAGAAAAAAAAGAGAAGGACCTGCGCAGCCACTTGTATAGACAAACAGAAATCAATAAAGATTCCGAGCATCCTAAGAAGATTCAAATAGAAAAATCACCCACCATTCACTGGAATAAGAAAAAGAAAATATCTAGGAGAAACTATTGGAGGGGATATCACCCATGATATCGAGGTGATTGCATAGGGAGGAAGGGAATGAAGGATTGAGGTTTGAGGTTTTGAACAACGGACCAACATCATGGAACACGCTTGTGACTCATAAGTGCACTGAAGAGGGAGAAATCGTGGCTAAGTCGGGCAGAAGATGTTATTAGGCAAATATGCAGCCTAACCGACATCATACCTTGTGCAGAATGGATACCTGTGCCTCAGGCGTTTATGTGTACATTTTCTTATATTGTCACACTCAACAGGCGATGTAGAGAAGAGAATCCTGTTGCTGTTAATGCAGAGGTCAACGCTCTCATCTGTGAAAATTCAGACGAAGCAGATGCACTAATCTATACAGCCGGATCCGTTATACGCCAAAGAAGAAGCGCATGGGCATTTACAGCACGCTCAGCGGGCAGAACAGTCAAAGAAGCCAACGGTGCCTTCTCCATGACAACCAGCAGCATGACGATGGAGGTGATGGCAGTGACGCAAGCGTTTGCCTGGCTTGAAACACAAAAATACACCTGCGTATGTATACTCAGTGATTCATTGAGTATGATCCGGAGGGTTCAGGCAGGTTCAGTGCGAAGACAATGACTTAAATCATTACAGAAGTCCACTGTGCGTGGAGTCATCTTTATTTTTGTTCCAGGACACGCAGGCGTCAATGGAAATGAAAGAGCTGACAGGTTGGCTGGACCCGCTATCACTACCCACGGTCAACCTATAGATCATGCTGATATTATTAATGCCCTCGGAGAAATGGGAAGGACAGAGGACTTTGGTGGCAGTGAATCCACATCACTCGCCAGAATGGCAGACTTGGGAATTAAGATCGGCACAGCAAAAAACAAGACGCACACCAGACACGCCAGAAGACTTGTTAATCAACATAGAACTGGTACTATTAGCCATCGGACGTTGGGGTTCATACTTAGGGCAGGATCTGAGCACCTATGGACATGTCCGGAGTGCAATGATGATAACCCAACTAACTAACTAACTAACTAACTAACTAACTAACTAACTAACTAACTAACTAACTAACTAACTAACTAACTAACTAACTAACAAAGTGTACCGTTCTTCTTCTAACTCAAATCTGAGTCCGAAGAAGCTCAGCACAGTGCACAGGCTCTGTAGCACCGGTGAGGATCCTGAAATACTTCGAGTGGATATTTAACTCAAAATTTTGCTCGGGCAGCGCCGTCAGGCTATTCTCAATTTCTAACTACCAAGGGATTTTTTTTTACGTGCGCACACGGGCGTCCGATCTCACTACCCAGAGACCAGGGGGAATTACTAGAAGTCTTGGTCCACGTTACAAAATCCCAGTCTTTGCTGGGGATTGAACACGGAACCTCAAGCACTCGAGGCGGACACCATGCCTCGAGACCACGCAGCTCCCTAGAGAGTGAAGGGAGATACAGCAAGCACTTTGCTCCATAACACTGTGCAGCATATAATGATAAAAATATTCAAATGCGCACGCACAGGCACGCACGAAGACACAAACATGCATGCAAGCGCACACACACTGCCACACACACACACACACATACACAGACTCACACGGAGAGATCATTGAAACCTTTCTTAAGATTAGTACATTTTAGTTTTCTTTTTTTAGCCTCTTTCAACGCATCTAAATAATTTCTTTTAATGTTCCTTGTGTGGGTTCAAGGGCCTTTTTTTTTGTAGGGAAAACAAGAATAGACCCACTGCCTACCCAAAAAAGCACGTCGTAAGAGTCGACTAATTGATAGCTTCCTTCAAAGTCGGAGTGCACCTGACTGAGAGGCTAGTAACAAACAGCTGCATGTAAATGAGTTACACCTGTAAAACGGATGCACACGCAACGCTCAGTCTTGAGTGGGTAGTGGGTACCGGGTGCAGTTCTGGAAAGTACTGGCTGCCGGCGTATTATTGACCAAATCATCAATCTTGTGCCATTCGATCTATGAAAAATATAGTTCTAGCCCTGAATGCCTTATACGTCTATAGGCGTGGACAAGGGTCATTTAGTTTTTTTTTTTTTTTTTTTTAAATTTCAAAATAGAAAATAGTTCTAACCGATGTTACAACAACAACAACACTCAATGTAAGCTCTTTTCTTTCCTTCTGTCTGTATTCTCACATCGATCGCTGGTCATGAACCAACTCACGTCCAGTCGTCCGATCCTATCCTATCGCATGTAGCTGACACCGATGTGCTACCTCATTTTTTTTTTTATTAGCCTTAACCTCTAGTTTCCATCTTCTCCATGTGTCTGTTGCGGAGATTGTCCTTGAAAAGCAGGTGCATCGGCGATTCAGGTTAATTGCGGTTTCAGACCTTGTCATCATTCTCGCATTAGAAAAACTTCCTTCCATCTCTGTTATTGGATTTACAAATTTATCTTGTAGACTTTTCCTTTACTAGTTCATATTTGTGACTAGGGGGCTACGAGGTATGGTGTCCGCCTTGAGTGCTAGAGATTTCGGATTCAATCCCCGGTAAAGGCTGGGATTTTTTCACGTATATTTCGACTTCTAGCAGTTCTCCCTGGTCTCCGGGTAGTAAGATCGGACGCCCGTGTGCATTTGTGAAGCATGTAAAAAATCCCTTGGCAGTTGCAAATCGAAAAGTTTAGCCTAACGGCGCTGCCTGGGCAAAAATTTGGAGTTAAAAATCTACCCAAAGTTTTTCAGGATCCTCGCCGGTGCTACAGAGCCTGTTCACTGTGATGATCTTCTTTAGACTCAGAATTGAGTTAGAGGAAAAACGGAGCACTTATGGGTTACTACACGTGTACCATGATGTTGATTTGTTGTTTAAACATAAAACCTAAATTTTGACTCTGTTTACGTGATGTTAAAGCTAGAACCCAAACCCAATCATATACTCAGTCGCCTTTTACGACATGCCTAGTAGGATGTTGGTTCATGGTGTTCTAGGTCGGCCTAGTACTCTACGTCCCTCTCTTCTATGGATGCATGCCCTGTGCGGTATGGCTGCGCAAGGTCCTAGTGGGCAATCTAGTTACCGTAGATATCTTGTTGGTATTGCTAAGTTTCAGTGCGCAACACACGGTACACATCTGCATTGACACTGACCGGGTGAGCATGTGTCATCTTTACGTGCTTGCTTTACTTTTTGTACGATTCTGTAAACATTTAGAGAAAATATCTATCTACGGGTAAGATACAAACTCATATTTAGTAGAGAAATACAGATCATAGAGTACAGCTGACCGAATTGATTACGGTTTTATATATATATATATATATATATATATATATATATATATATATATATATATATATATATATATATATATATATATACCAGCAAGAGCATTTGATTGTAGTCTATAAAGTACAACATCAATGTTTTTGCATCATTATTGTACTGGTATGCCATTTTGTGTCATACATGCTGTTCCTACGTCTATTCTATACTATGCAATTCATTCAGTATCATGGATGAAATCCATTTCGGCCCCAATTCTTTGGTATCTCTCATTAATGCTCATTTCAGGAGTGCTAAATTTCTTTTTTGGATGGGGGGAGGAGGGAGGGGGGGGGGTCTTCGATTCCCCAGTCTCTAGTGCTTTATTAATATCCTACTCCAAACAGGGAACATTTACACTCTTGGGACAGTCTGAACTTTTGGGGGGTGGTAGATAGGCTGCATGCCCCGTGGGACGTAGGAAGGTTGGGTTTGGGGCCAGCTCTAGATGTTCTAGGCTCGTTTAGAGCATCAGAAAACCGGAAACCTAGTCTTACGACCCTCTAAAATGGTAGACTGTCCTGTGACGTCGTCTGGGTAGGATATTATTAAAGAACAGAGTCTCCTTATTTCATATACCAATTTGTTTACTGGTAAAAGAACTTCTTTTACACAATGTGGAATGCTCGACCATACTGATTATAGCTTTACTTTGTTTTTAAAATTTGTTTGTGTCATTTCCCCTAGGTCTATTTCCAGGTATTCTGTCTTAAATTGACTAGTAGCCAGTCCATTTTTGTTTTTGTTTTTGTTTACGTCTTTTTTTTTTCACTGTCTATAGTTCAGTTTGTCCTACATGTGTCTCATCTCCTTAACAAGTATTCTTATTGTTCGTCGTATAGCAAAGTCACCTTTTACCTTTCTTATTCTTTTCTGTCAGGCCGCGATCAAATAATAAAAATAAAGAAAACAGACACAGTACATCAACTTACTTTAACCAGTATGTTTTCAAAAAAAATGGGACCGCGTTAGCGCAGTCGATAAGTGGCTCGCTTTAAAATTCAGCTGCGACTCGGCGTTCGAAACCGGGCGGTTCCCGGGGTTCACCCAGCCTCTCGGAAATGGGTACCAGAGTTAACAGTCTAGTGTAAATGGAGGAACGTCGCTGTAGCTTCAGAGTTACGTGCGGACGGCGACACAGCCGGATAGTTTCTTATTAGCTGTCCGTACTGGTGGCAGAGCACTTATGGTTTATAACCGTGTGCAATGACGCTGGTTCACATCTCCCGACTTTACTTTTACCTTTTTTGGAATAAAAGGCTTGCATAGTTGTAATTATATGCATTAGAGTTAAATTTTCATAGTTATTGCATACAAAGACAGTACATCAAATGGTTTGCCCACTTGGAAAGAATGCCTTCTGATGCTATACCATGCAAAGCATATACCATAAGAGGTTGGTGGAAAAAAAAAAGGGGGGGGGGGGTAGAGCAAGAGGTAGATCAACAACAACATGACAGATAACATCAGAGAAACTCTACAGCACCACGATGTGACTATGATCGAAGCAGCCACAAGAGCACAAAGCAGGACCTTATATCTTCCCCGACACCCGAAGAGGTCAAAGAGGAAGTTAAGAAGAAGATATGTATTCTAGTAATAATAAGCGTGTACTAAGGTCCCAGATAGGCGAAAACCGGGGGATGGGGGGGGGGTGGAGGACACTAGCTATCCATTAGCATGTCGTAAGAGTTGACTAACCGGTATCTTCCTTTTAAGTCGGAGTGCATCTGCCTGATAATTAAAGAACCAACAGTTTGCATACAGATATGCTAGATCTGTAAAAAGATGTGCTTCAAAATTCAGTACATGAACAAGACTACAGTCTAGAGGGGAGAAACATCAGAAAACATTTCGCCGCTAAGAAGAGGAAGATAACTGTGGAATGGAAAAATGTATTATAGGGTATTTTTAAAGTATATTTACTAATTAAGGAATCGTGATCACACACACAAGGCATAGCCATAGGTGCTCCAACACCCGCAACAAATATCTTAATTTGTAGATGCTGTTCATGTAGTACACTTGTTGTAGATGCGGTTCATGTAGTACACTTTTTGTAGATGCTGTTCATGTAGTACACTTGTAGCTGCTGTTCATGTAGTACACTTGTTGTAGATGCTGTTCATGTAGTACACTTGTTGTAGATACTGTTCATGTAGTACACTTGTTGTAGATGCTGTTTCAGTAGTACACTTATTGTAGATGCTGTTCCAGTAGTACACTGGTCGCAGATGCTGTTCCCGTAGTACACTGGGCGTAGATGCTGTTCTCGTAGTCCACTGGTTACAGATGCTGTTCCCGTAGTTCACGAGGCTTAGGCGTTGCGAGTCCGACATTCCAACATACTACGATCAAAACTTACCGCTGGCTGCGTGGGTTTTTATCATGGTATGAGGGGTCGCAGGTCGACCCAGCCTAAAATGGGTACCCAGATGTATGTCCTGGGAAAGTAAAGACAGCCGGCGTAATTATAAATAATTACCAACGTAGTGCTAATTAGTCAGTAAAAATATGGGTGCTTTTCCCAAAGGTCTGATGCTCCTGAAGGCGTGAAAAGGAATCTTAACTTATTTTATATATATTTTTTTTAAATTATGGTCTGTTGCTCATCATAGTTTTGGTAGTGTGTAAGCATGAAGTATGATGCTGTCAGTCAGTACTGGCTAAGAGGTTAGGGTCTGCAACCATATCAAGTAAAACTTTACATTATTTATAACGTGTTATGTACATTATAATGATGATACTGATGATGATGATGATTTTATTAACTATGATAATGATCGTGGGTTTGTTCTGATGCTTTAATAATATCCTACCCCAAACAGGGGAAATCAACAGGTCACGGGACAGTCTAATATTTCAGGTGTTGGTAGAAAGGCTACATGCGGTCGTGGAACCCAGGCTGCTTGCAGTCGTGTGACCTAGGCTGCACTCTTTCGAGGGAGGTAGGTGGGTTGGGGTTAGGGCCAGTTCTAGATTTTGTTTGGGGTGGTTAAAAGCGTATGAAAGCTGGGAAACCTACTGTTACCACACTCTAAAATGTTGAACTGTCCTGTGACGTCATCTCGGGTTGGAAAATAATAAAGCACTTTTTTTTTTTTTTAGTTTCTGATATACCAGGACCGACGAACAAGTCAAACGTGGTGAAAATATGAAACTCGGGGAGATGCAGTATATATTCTTTGTGACCTGCATGTTATCTGTCTTCAATGTGACTTCTCAAACACGTAGGTAGCTTTACATTAGCTTAGGTACTTACGGCAAGATGGTCTCCCAGCTGATGTACCTGGGTCTCATTTTAGTGGAACAGAAGCAGTGCTCCTTAGCAAAGTTGAGTGTCCTCTGCGTAACCAACCCTAGACTATTTATTTAGATGTTTTGCCTTCATTAGTCAATTTTACTACTTTGCCGTTGCCTTACCGTTATGTCAACTGTCGATACTATTGTGAAAACCAACGCAAGGCGTTCTACTGCCAAATCGAAACATAGCTGGCACCACAGATTCAGGAAGCGCGGCCGCAACGTATGCGCTAAGCTACAAAGGTAACAAGCATATCGTTGGAGACAATAACGACTTAGAGTAAGATGTATTGACTGGCAGGTACACATTTCGCCGCAATAATATAAACAACATTCCATGTTTACCGCTTTGTTGAGTACAAACGAACGAAAGGGGAGGAGATAAAAGAAGACGAAGAAGAAGAAGAAGAAGAAGAAAAAGAAGAAGAAGAAGAAGAAGAAGAAGAAGAAGAAGAAGAAGAAGAAGAAGAAGAAGAAGAAGAAGAAGAAGAAGAAGAAGAAGAAGAAGAAGAAGAAGAAGAAGAAGAAGAAGAAGAAGAAGAAGAGAAGAAGAAGAAGAAGAAGAAGAAGAAGAAGAAGAAGAAGAAGAAGAAGAAGAAGAAGAAGAAGAAGAAGAAGAAGAAGAAGAAGAAGAAGAAGTAGAAGTAGAAGAAGAAGAAGAAGAAAGAAGAAGAAGAAGAAGAAGAAGAAGAAGAAGAAGAAGAAGAAGAAGAAGAAGAAGAAGAAGAAGAAGAAGAAGAAGAAGAAGAAGAAGAAGAAGAAGAAGAAAGAAGAAGAAGAAGAAGAAGAAGAAGAAGAAGAAGAAGAAGAAGAAGAAGAAGAAGAAGAAGAAGAAGACAAAACAAGAACAAGAACAAGGACTTGAACAAGAACAAGAACAAGGACTGGAACAAGAACAAGAAACTAGACTCTATGTGATTATAGACTATTTTTTTTTTCTTCAGTAGCCCTCAGAATTTCTTAAAACACAAGACGAGCCGTAATAGACGTTAGTCTGCATTGTGTCAGCCGTTACATTAATATTTTTCAGCATGTACGTTTGGTTGGTTTGGGCCTGTATGCAAGTACAAGTGTCGATGTACCGCCGACAGTTGTGATTTAGACGGCGTATGTACAGGGACTTCCAGATGCAAGCCGGGCTGGTTTGGCCCCGCGTGTCAATATGGTAGGTACATCACGACGCATGCTCGTGTCCAAAGCATCATTTTTATCAGTTGATAAAATCAACGATAAGGGGTTACTACACCAAAATTTTTTTTATTTTTTTTTATTTACAGAGTTAGAGCAGTTATTTTATAATGGTCATTTGTAGGGATACATGTTATTACATTTGTATACTTTAAGTGTTAAAAAAATCATAGTTGTCATGGCAATAGCCGCCTTCTTGTGAAAAAAACCATATGTATTTAGAATCCTAAAATTTCAAAAACAAACATAGGTATTCAATAATAGATGATGGATTCATGACCTGTCATCCTATTTAGAGGTACAGGTCTAGTTTATTTACTTTAAACATGTTTTTAATATTTTTCGTAGAATTTTAAAATGTAGGTTTATTGAAAAGTCAAAAAAAAAAAAAAATATAGCATCATAGGACAATAATCAAATTTTAAAAAACGAAAGCTTTCTAAAATCTACTTTCAGAAAGACCAGTCCTTATAATATTGTTTATGGAGTATGCATAAAAATTTAATGTTTCTGCTCTTTATATTAGCTTAGATTTTAGGATTTCACACACACAGCAAACTGAAATCTAGAGATTTGAGAAAACTGACCTTTTAAACTGTTTTTTATCTTAAAAAAGTGCACGAGGTGGTGTCGTTAGTATTAACTTTTCAATGCTAAATTGTTTACAAATGACATAAATTTGTTGTGTCATCTATTCTACGAATGCTGAACTTTACAAAAACGAACACATTGAAAAAGTGATATTTTTGTCATAAATTGGAAAAAAATGCCGTGTAGTGACCCTTTGCAGACGATCAGTGTCTGTTCTGCAATGAGAGCGTTTAGACTTTAAGACCATTTTGTGAGGTTACGTTCATCATTCGACTTCTGCCTTTCTAGCTCACAATGAACATAACACTCAAACAACTTGCGCCAAGTCGTTCTATCGTTTGCTACCTCATGCAGCTGTCCCTTTCCCGTGTGTGTTTTTTTTGGGCCTCCCTTTATTCCTAAGCCCCTGGGGGTTCCAATGCAAAGACATTCTAGTAACATTGTTCTAGGTTTTTTTTTCAATGAGTGTCCAGTCTAACGCCAGCGTCTTTCTTCACCTCTTGGTCCACTAGAGTTTACTTAGTTCTCTCCAAATGCTCTACATTAGTGATTCTGTCCTACCATTTAATTCCCTCTATTCTGCGCAGGCATCAGTTAAGGAATGTCTGTAGTTTATTAGTCTTTTCCTTAGTTGTTCTCCATGTTTCCGCCTCTAACAAAAGTACTTATCTGACACTAGAATTAAAAATTGTGAGTTAAAAGTAAATACGACTAAAACTGAAAAGATATAAACCCGAACGAAAAGTATACTGGTAAGCTTCACAATATAACAAATACAAACAAAACGTGAACGTTGCGGCTATTGAGCCTACATCAGCACTTACAAATTAAACAATACTACACAGAAACACAAAATCACTTAGCTGGTATCTCGATGCGGCCAGTTCGGTACATATAGGGTTAAATGGTACTTTTCCCAAGTAAGTTAACGAATTAATATGTCCAGGAAGCAAAATCTCGGAGAATTAGATAAATAGATTCAGGGGAAAAAAAAACTGATACCAACGAGCTAGTGCACTTAAAACTAAATAACAACGCTATTAGGACATCCAGAAAAGTATGATCGTCAAGAAACAGACAATAAACAGCATATTTATACCATCATGGTGCTAACAGTGCCAGACATGGACATTATCAAAGGCTAATTACGTAAAATTAACATCTGTAAAATGATATGTCCAAGCATAGCCGCCAACTCAACCATCTGACACAGAGTTAGAAACGATGTGATCTTTAGACTGTGAGAATAAGATGATAAAGCAAATCCAGTGAGAAACAGAAGATCAAATGGTATGGACATCTAGCAAGAATGCACCTGAAACAACTGCCAGGGCAGGCGCTAAACATGAAAAGAGCTTACCTAAATGCAAGAGGTCTCGTTAGAAAGGCATGGACTGATGAAATTAAAAAGTGATTCTACATAGAATCTTTTTCTTCTTCTCCGCTCTCACCAGCAGTAAACTCCAGCGAACAGTTCCGGTTGTTGGTCCACGTCTGGACTGCAGTCCTTTTCCAGAACCTGAGTGTTGCGTGTGTGTCCGTTTTACAGATTTGACTCATTTGCATGCAGACCGATGGTTCCTCGCCTCTCAGGCAGTTGCACTCTGACTTCAAAGAAAGCTCCCAATTAGTCGACTTCTACGACTGGCTTTTGGGTAGGAAGTGAGTCTATTCTTGTTTTCCCTATCATAGGGCCTCGGAACCCACACGGGGAGACCCGGGATAACATTAGCCACTTCTGTTCATGAGGCATGCCATGGTAAGCTCTTCCTCCTCCACGTCGCTTAGCGGCAGAAGTAGAAAATTGGTGATGATGATGATGATGACGAAGATGATGATGATGATGATGATGATGATGATGATGGTACAATAAGACTACAATCGTAGTCTTATATAATATATAATATATTATCGTGTAGTTGGAATGGGCGCAATTGAAAACCCTAGACAATGCAGATATAGCTTACCTAACGGATATGTCCTCAGCCGACACGTTTGTAAACAGGTCACTAGAAAGGAACTATTATGAAAGGTAATTAGTTATTTGTGAAGCAACTCGTTTTCTCAAGGTATTATCACTAACGTTTAATATTGTGACCCACAGATGTTTTATACAGCTATTGCACACATTCGTGAGTACTTCGTTGCATTATCATTGTGTTGATATATAGATCCTTACATATCTAGTTCATTCTTTCAGAGTCTTCAACCAGGAACCCAGATGAGTATCACTTATTTAGTACATTGCTATCATTTCATAGTTAGTGTATAATTTAGTATATGTGCCCTGTTGTCTTTGTTTGCTGATAAACGTTAATCACCTCACCACCCTTTGTTTGTTCATTATATTTAATTTTGTAAAGGTGACATAAATTATTGGGTTTTTTAACCACCTTTATCTTCTCTTCTCTACAATTCCCTACCCTTATCAAAACTTGCGTTTTCACAGCAGATGTGGCTTACCGAACAAACAGTATACCGGAAGCTATCGATGGCAACGACAACACTTGCATATCTTCCCTAAAGGAAGAGTATATTGTTATTGAGCTTAATGGCTCCTATATTTTCACGTGGCTCAGAATTCTACTTAGTCAGGCAGGTTGGTACCATATGCTTTTAATATCTGTTGCATTAGTAATGAAAAAAAAGTGACCATTCCCCATTTTTTTGGGAACGTGTGTTTAAAATCTGTTAACAATTATTTGCGTGAAAGTCTTTGTTGAAATGTTTCTAAAATGTAGCTTAAACCAAGTCAGTGAGTGGTTTGTGAACTGAAACAATATGTTACCATTACTGATTTAGAAGATAAACTACACATATGGGAGTGTAAATTTAATAACAAAAACGAATTAAAAAATATGCCCATTAACAATGAAACGGTAATGTGGGAACTTCACTTTCTGAAGCCCAGCACTCATCCCTAATAAACAATTTTATTATAAACTAGCTGTACCCGGCCACGCGTTTCTGTGGCGTAATTTGACTACATGGAAAATAGAGAACATAGAAATGTGTCTTCGCTTCACGCTAGCGATGTACAGTGCAACAGCTAAACCACAGCTAATAAAACTTTGAGTGGGTAAGGCAGTTACTGTAACTTAAATTTATCTTAGTAAACAGTTTATTGTAACCACCCATCCCCCAGTTCACATACTACTTTCTCCTTCATCGAAGTAGTTGGAAAAATTACCCTAGTGAAAAGCAATGAAAAGAGGAAAAATACACCATAATTACGAAATGAGCACATTTGCTAATTGCTGTAAACAACCCTGCACGCGTTGCTACAATAGAAAGTGAATTGAAAGGAAAATCGCTTTAACAAAATGTAATTATATTGGATCATTGTGCCGGTAATTTAACATTAAAAATGTGTTTACTGAAGTGCTTTTGGGTAAACAATGTTCTCTGTTCTTCCGTCTGGCGCGTACACAAATAAATTAGAAGGTTTTCCGACGCGTGAACAGGCCACATATAGCTGTCCATGTAAAAAGCATGGATGTTCCAAACGTAGTACACACAGTTGTAGCGATTGTCCCTGTGATTTGTTTATGGTCATTGCAAAGGCGAGTCGCACTGGAAACTGCACGCGTCTGAAGTCAAATGGCATATCTGTTGGAATCATTGGGATGAGTGGCAAAAGTATATTCTCGCCCTCAAATTTCCCATTTAAAATTGTACCTTCGATGATATTGAGCATCAGCCTTTTCACTGAAAGCCTGGTACCATTGCAAAGACGTGGCGGATTGATGTTTCTGAGAAGAATGTTAAGCACGCCAATTTTCACGGTTAAAATGTGGGGTGGCATGCCTGGCAAATCAAATGAATTTAAGAAGATAATTAACAATTTCTTCCTGATTCATTACAGTATAGATAGACTTATACGTTGTCACACCGCCTGGTAATTTGTCTTAGATGTTCGGATTCATGGCAACTCACGATCGAAAAGGTTGTTTGCAGATTGTTCTGGTGGAGCCATTCCCACCTGAACCAGTGCTTTGTTAGTTATAGTCAAACATATGTCCTCAATGCTGTGACGTGACGCGGTGGATGCAATGTTTATAATGTTGAGTAGGGATGTTCCTCTCAACACATTCCCTCCACCAGATAAACCGAACTAAGATCTGAGCTATGTTGCTCTCAGACAAAGTCCTGGATACCCAAGAAAACAGCCATATTGGCTCGTTAAGTACATTAACATTAGCTGAACTTGGTACCCACAAGAGAAGAAAAGGAATTTTAGATGTCTATAGCATTATACTTAATGAATTATTAGACAGGGCAAATGATTCCTCCGTCATCTACCTTCTCCCGGTGTTATTATGAATAATTAAAGAATTATTATTATATTAATTGAGCACCCACCAAATGTAATTCTGTCTATGTTAAGTTAAACAGGTAAGACTGAATACACTTGGAATTTAACAAACGATGTAGTATAAAACTTGACATACAGCTTTATTTTCTAACAATCAGTTAATTGACATACCCAGTTTGTTGTGTTTACACAAACAGTGACTAGCTAAAGTTATGATAGTAATGGGTTGTTTCAGCGCGAGAACAGCACCTGGGATTAGAGTGGTGTGATGAAGGTGATAAAGTATGAACAATTTATGAACATAACTTGTTTTTCATAGAACCTCTGACAGCCGTGAGCACTGTCAAGCTCTTCCTCCTCTTCCAGCTTCTTCCCTGCTTGTTTCTCCTTCTCGCCCCCACCTCGTTCCCAGCTGGCCGAGTCTAACACAATGTAGTCTCTTTCATGGACTGATCGTCACATGGGCGCTGTAATCATGGAAACAAACACATACGTGTAGTATCTTGACTTACACTAAGAATACATGTATCAATTAATATAACATATAAGAATAAAATATATCCCATCACTCCTCATATTCCACATTCTCTCCAGTCTAGTCTGAAGGTCTTTTGTATTACATGGACGTCACATATCCTGCCTTCCTCTCTCATGCTATGTCATGATAGTTGACTTTCTAAGTCTGTTGTCTGTCATTACTCAGACTTCCAACTGGCTGACATTGATTTGACATAAACATGTGGCGCAGGTTCTGTGCTGAACACGCAAACAATTTATATGTGCACGCTGTCCTGAATATTATCTTTCAGTGACCGTGAATTCTATACACCCATCATTCTTCCCCTCGGGTTATAAATCCCCTGTTTAGTTGAACACATTAAGTGAGCACATGGTGGGCACACAAAACGTAGCAGCATCCCTGCACATATTTGGGCATCATTTCCCACAGTCCAAACTCATATTTTGGTTGATGGTGGAAACAATATATTTACATTTCATTATAGCAAATGTCATTGTTCACATCTTATTTTATACTCATGAAAACATACAATGAAAAACATGTGACACAAACATACAAGAAATAGGAATAGTTTAGCAGTTCCCTAACTGAGATACTGAATACTCACAAAGAACTATTTCAAGCAGAATGTGCAGACAAATTAGGAAAAGGTAGTATAGACTAAGCTTAACTCCCTAACCTATGTATACAAGATTAAAATTAATATTCACATGGGAACTTTCCAGCAAATGCCAAACACGTCTCAACCAGTAAGAAAATACTTTTCTACGGTAAGACTGAGTCTGTGGCCTGCTGGCGGCACTATGAGGTAAATCTACAATGCTCGCAGTATAAGTATCAATCTATTGTCCAGATTAAACTCCTCCCTTTACTTTCTTCTACCCAACCCTCAAGACGATGACTTAAGCCACGCCTCTGAAGTACCTATCAGATCAAATTAGCTAACAAGTGGCCTGTCAGTCAATTCTGGACTGACATCCCTAGAGCAAACATTCTTAAGTGACCCAATCTAGTTTACAACGAATCTAACTAGCCAGTGTGAATAGACGTTCAGTGAAGCCATTGTGTTTCCTACTTGACCCAGATCAAACATTCCTAATTGCCAAACACCTGTTCTGCCAAGAATTACACTGACTTGCGAAACTCTAACCTCTCGTCGCCACAATGTCTAGAGTCCACTCAATTCCCCTGATCTAGTCTCTACAGTCTGTGGTCAGGAGATAACATTCTGACACTGGCATGAGAATCAAACCTAACATCCCTAGTCTGAACCAGCGGGGTGTATTACGTAGTGTTTTGTAATTTTAAACAAAGCGCAGTGGCTTTGTCTCGGAGAAGGACTGGAAACATTTAAATCAGTTTGGTTTAAAGTAATATTAGGCTAAAGGGCAGAGTAAATATAATCCTCTCTCTTTAGAACCAGAAGAACTTATTACAAGTACTAACTTCTGGAACCACTGAGATCGTATCGTGACAAATGCAAACAAATGCCTCATTATATACATTTGGTATGAATTGAGGGTCCTGATCATGCTTCGTTTCACGCCAGGATGTCTTCACTCATGTAGTCTTTGTATTTTTCCCAAAGCTCTTTTGGAATGAATGGGAAGCAAGTTGTTAATATTATTGCAAATAATGTGCGTATTTGCTGTGGTCGAGCAGTATTCGAAGCATCAGCGAGTGAAGTGTCCCAATGTGCATTGTTTTCAAGAAGATTTATTTCTTGGCAATCTTCACGGTAAGTAGCGCATACTTTACCATAAACTGTTCTCAAGTCCTGGAAGGATGCCGGTCTCCGTTTGTTGATTAAAAGTAATCGCAAGTAAAAGCAATCTGCATTTTTGGGATGAACAGTGTACACACGGCCTAAAATATCTGTAGAATATAAATTAAGATGTCCGTCAACCGCTTGACCTTGCTTGCAACGTTGAAACTTTTTAGCTGATGCATTACATGTGTAGAATGTTTGCAGGTGAGAGTAAAGCAGTGTCTTTGCAATCATATCTCTACACAATGAGAAAAATCAGTTAACGTGGTTGGCGGTGGTAACAATGCTCGTGCATGTGCATTCTCTGTAGTGAAGTACACGCGCTGTCCATTGTCAAGGTGCACTGCCAAATGAAAAACTGCTGGATGTCATTCGTGAATTGGAAATGACAAAATGCGCCATACCGCTTCATTGCTACTAATGTAGCGCCCCAGCTAATATTGCTTGATTTCATTGATAGATGCAGCTGCATGTCCCACTCCAAAGACTGCCATATCGCCTCCTTTGTTGACATATTTGCAAATGTACTTATGTTTGCCAAGAAATGTATCGACTGGCCTGTGTCACCTACTACCAATGATGATAATGGTTCGGGTGGTGAATGTAATACTGGCCATTTAACTTTTCCACCAGCGCAGCACATACCCGGCATGTCATTCTTAAATGTGAAGGCACTGCAATGTACGCACAATTTATCCATTTTGCCAAAAAGCGAGAGTAGATGAAGACCAATCATAATCGATGGTGTAATGGAATGCACCAAGATTCAAATCAACATGCAGTGTTCGCCTGGATAAAGTAGTGCGCATTTGAACTTTTTCGAGTCTTGCTTTCCGTTGCTGGTCTGATTGAGATGAAAGGGCTTCAGCAGTGCGAACTCGAATGGTTTCCAGTCTTACATCACGTTGCTCGTCTGTTTTTGAAGCATTTATTGCACTCCTCTTGAGTGTTTCAGGTGTAGATGGGCCAATCGCTTGTTGTTTGGGAAGCATAACTGCAAATTTTGTGAGCGCTGATCATCAGTAGCTTGTTCATTCTCATGATGAAAGTTGACTTGAAGTATCGCTGAAATAAATAAAAATATGAGCATGAGATAACAATCTATTTTGACTCAAGAGGAAATGCATAGAAACTGGGCAGCAAATAGCAAGAAAAGGCGGTATATAAGACAATATGAGAAAGCCAACAGATAATGTGCACACATTTACCATTTTGAGATTTAAAGAGTGGTCTACACATGTATTTGAAGTTTTAAAAAATGTACATAATGACTGATGGACCAATGTGTATACATTTATCATTGCTGGATTTAAGAAGTGGTCCTCATTTGTTTGAAGTTAACAAAAACATGTACATAGTGCATAATGACTGATGTTTTATTTTTAGATTCTAACACTGACCTGAGACGGAATGTCGTGTAAATGTATATAGTTCTTTTGAATAACAGAAGAAAGCCAACCAAAAATGTTGTACTACTTGTACTAATGAGTATTAGAAAGATGATCATGATAATGGTTAATGATAATGTGTATATGAATACACTGTATACATTTATCATTGCGGGATTTAAGAAGTGGTCCACACTTGTTATTTAAAGTAAACAAAAAACGTACATACTGACTACTAATGTTACTTAAATAAATGCGCTCACCTGTTTAGATATTTTTAGATTCCAACACTGACATCAGACGAAATGTCGTGTAAATTTATATAATTCTTTTGAATAACAATACCAAAAGAAAGCCAACCAAAAATGTTGTGGTTGTACTACTTGTAACATGTACTACTTGATACTTGTACTCATGGGTATACCGTATGAGAAAGACGATAATAGTTAATGATAATGTGAATACATTTATCATTGCGGGATTTAAGAAGTGGTCCACATTTGTTGAAAGTAAACAAAAAACATGTGCATACTGACTAATGTTACTTAAATAAATGCTCTTACCTTTTTATATATTTCTAGATAAAACAACTAAAAACCGCAGTCAATTGATTCCTTTGTAATATAACACTTAAATGTCGCGGACGGATGTTGACCGTGTTGACGATGGAGCGTCACTACTGCGCATGCACGGTATGGTAAATCGATCGCACATGCGCATTAAGTAACGTGGCTATAATTAGAAATCACTAAAGTTATTCTTCTTCTTCTTTCGTTCGCATGAAATAAATTGTCTATATCTGCAAAGCTGTCTCTAGTATGAATTTAACTGTCTTTTGTAATTCACTAAGCGGCCCGTAAAGTTAGACTTCCACAAGTGTCTCTTTTGGCCAAAGGTTTTGCCTGAAAGCGTTGAATCTGGGACAGTCTTGAAGGATGTGATCTGTTGTTTCAGGTGCCAGTCCACAAGTACACATGGCTGATTGGCTAATCTTAAATTTGTTGTACATGTGGGAGCGAAGTCGATTGTGCCCTGTTCTAAGGCGAAGGATAATGACTTGCTCTGGTCTGTCCATAATATGGTAATTATCTTGTGCCTGTTTCGATGGCATTCTGATTGATTTGATCATTCTCTTCTTCTGTTGATAAGAGACTGGTATGTCAGGTTGTTCTTCAGTTGCAACTTCCTTAGCTAGTTTATCAGCTTTTTCGTTTCCGGGAACTCCACAGTGGGAAGGTATCCACTGCATTACTAATTTACAGCGGTTGCCTAGTTCGGATAATAGTGTCCGTATGCTTGGTAATTTTCCAGACTGGAGTGACTGAAACACTGCTTTTGCATCTGTCTGTAATACCACTGGTTCTAAAAAATACCCTGTATTTAGTAGTTTCTCTACCGCTATCTTGATGGCTTGAACTTCTGCATCATAGTTGTGACAGTGCTTTCCCGTTGGTAATTTGGCTGTATCCCTGGTATTATTAGGATACTCAATGTACACTCCCGCACCTCCGTTTCTGACTGCGCTTTCTGCTGACCCATCTGTGTAAACACGGACCCAAAGGTTCTGCGGGTATTCATCATCAAGTAGACTGAGGGTGGCTGTTTTGCGCTGCACACTGTTTTGTTCTTCCTTGTCAAATACCCCTTTAACTTCAGTCTTGATGTGTATTGGAAACTTATACTCCTCTCTCCAGGGGGTCCGTTCTGGGACAGCATTTAAGGATCTATCAGTTGCAGGTAAATCAGTGGTTTGTCTGCCGAGCCGTTTGGCCTGGTGGATAAAACTGTTAATCTATCATCAAACGTTACGCCGAGGTATGTGGGCTCCTTATCCTCTCTCAGGGGTACTCAGTTTATGTGCATGACACCTGATTTTTGTTTAGGAGAAAGGGTAAAGAGGGTGGTGCTGCATTTGCCTATGTTGATGCTGACACACCATTTGTTGGCCCAATCAGCCATTGCATCTATGGCTCTTTGTAGCAGCTTGGTGGCCACTGTCGCATTTTCATTTGTACACCAGAGTACCAAGTCATCAGCATACATTGCAGCTTTAATTCTATGGGGTAGTTCAGAAAGCAGGTCGTTGATATAGACAAGGAAGAGTGTGGGGGACATGACACCTCCTTGTGGGACGCCATGGCGCAGCAAAACTTTCTTACTCTTAAGTCCATCTATCTGTACTCGGGATCTTCTGTTATAACTAAAGTTATAAATGTTAGTTTCGGATATTATGGATTAATTTGTGGTCACCTATCTCTAACAGTGACAGGTTGAATTTCAAACCACGATGGTTCGAAATCCGGTATCAAAACAAACATATCTTGAAAATTTCAGCTAAATCGGTTCAGTAGTTTCCGAGTCTATAGGGGTCAAACAAACACACAAACATTGATTTTTATATATATATAGACAAGGGAGGTGTGAAGAACGAACAAACGTTGCTTTTAAAGGGTAACAAACTGGGCAATCAGAACCGTCCTACATTCGGACCTTTCAAACACACGTCTTTCACACAGCATTTGTATTTTATCAATAAAGCATGTTATGTTAAAATATTAATATGCATTTTGTGAATATTAGGAAAAAACATTAAAAAAAGCATTAATGGTAAAATGCTTGCACACTCTAGCACGAGCGCACACACACACACACATACCCACATACCCACATACACGCGCCTACACACTTACTTAAATGTGCATACACCCATGCACTCATATACATCCACGCATACACACTCACACATACTTACACACACATGTTCCACTCACACACATACATACATAAAGATACAGACATGCACAAACAGAAGCACCCACATATACATACGCAAACACATACACACGCACGCGCAGAGACACACACACACACAGACATACATGCAGATATCCCATTAAGTGTGGTTGATTTTTAGTATGTGTTTATTATTATTATTAATGTTATATCCTTTTTCTGACACAGTGTTTACTGGTAGAATGTGTTTAGGAGTGACACCACCTTGTGGATCAAGTTCATTGGCGAAGTGTAGAGCCTGAATTGGAAATTACCATTTGAAAATCAAAATACGAAAATTACCATTGGTCAGGAGTGGTCAGCAAATGACATCGCAGTAAATGGAGTGTAAATAGAAGTAGTAAAGGGGGGGGGGGGGAGTCAGCAGCATGCAACAATCTGAGAATACACTACGCAGTTACATTTAGAACTGTCAAGCGTTATATAACCAACCACGCTGTGTTGTCCAAAGCCACAGAGAGTTAACAAGCAATCAGAAAATCGTATAGAATCTCTTGCCCTGTGGATATACAAGGAGAAAAGATGGGGTTTAATTAAAGTAAAATTATTCAAATACAATTGCTCTGAAGAGAGGGAAGGAAACAAAATGTGTTGCCGAAGGAGATTAACAAAGCAAGTAGGTTTGATAGTTCCCCATATTAGAAAACGTAACATTCTTTAATAAACCACACTGGAGGAAAATGTTGAAGGTAAACGAAGAAGTTATACACAGCCAAACAAGCTAGAAAATAAATTTAGGAGATCGAAGAACAGAAGTATAAGGTATTCAAAATTGTTGATCACGGACCTAAGACAGAGTATTGTGTACATTCATCGCAGCTAAACTTCGTATCTGATATATTACTTATATAGATTGATTTAGTGTGTTTATATTATTTGCACGCATCTTTTTTTTTTTTCCACACACAGGTTTCCTGGCAACATTGCAAGTTAAATACCTAACTAAGGCCTCTATAATGGAATGCATCAACGGAAGTTCTTTCAATGTGGACAACCTTACAATAGACATTGTTTGTCATATCCCGATGCAGATCTTCGGAGTTAATATTACAGGAGAGGGACTCAAGTACCTGTGCTCGGTGTACATCAGTGGAGGTAATTCAATATTTATGGTCCCTCTATACATCTAGTGGTATTTCAGTATATATGTTCTGTGTTTATCAGTGGGGGTAATTCAATATTTATGGTCCCTCTATACATCTAGTGGTATTTCAGTATATATGTTCTGTGTTTATCAGTGGGGGTAATTCAATATTTATGGTCCCTCTATACACCTAGTGGTATTTTAGTATATGTTTTAAGTGTATATCAGTGGGGGGGGGGGGGGGGGTAATTCATAGTTTATGTTCCCTCTATTCACGTAGTAGTATTTCAGGATATGTGTTCTGTGTACATCAGTGGAAAGAAAAAAAAAAGGTGGGGGGGGGGGGATTCAATATTTGTGTTCCCTCTATACACATAGTAGTATTTCAGTATATATGTTCTGTGTACATCAGTGGGGGGTAATTCATAGTTTATTGTTCCCTCTATACACTTAGGGGTATTTCAGTATGTATGTTCGGTGTACATCAGTGGCGGTAATTCATAGTTAATGTTGCCTCTATACACGTAATAATATTTCACTATATATGTTATGTGCACATCAGTGCGGGTAACTTAGGAAATATGTTTATGGACGATTTGGGAGTGAATCATAGGAAAATGGCGAATATAAGGCCACACATAACAGTTCGAGTCTTCGAGATAGTTGTTAAAGCACACAGGCATTCTTTTTGAAACGTACTGTAGAAATGCGTAGGGTGTGTGTTAATAGTGCTAATTAAGTCTGTTATATATGGCTAATAAACAATATCCTTTCTCGAAAACTGAAATATTTTGGTCGTATCAAGCGCCACGACGGATTGTAAAAAAATATAGCGGAAGGCATGGTATCAGAAAGGAGGGGCAGGGGCTGACCAACATGAAGATGGGCACAGGATATAGGTGACTACTTGGGTGTGAAAGTGCATTAGGCGGGAGAGCTAGCGAGAGACCGAGTTTATTTCAGGCAGACTGGGAGGAGAGCGACGTTCTGCAAAAGACCTGCTACATGATGATGATATATGTAGTGGGGTGGCATTTCTCTCTCTCTCACACACACACACACACAAAACAACAGCAACAACAACAACAACAACAACATCAACAACAACAAGTATAGCTTATTTCATTAGGAATGTTTACAGTTCCTATTAGGCTGCAGAAAAGGAAGGAGATCAAGATACGAGGTTGGCACCACACATATGATGCAATATATGTGTAGAACATTAAACTATGCCATGAAAGGTACCCCGAGTTGATCCGGAAGACCGGCTTGCGACCTGACATAGTTCTCCACTCTGCGCAAAAACGACAGCTCATCCTGATTGAGTTGACCGTCCCGTATGAGTCGCGTATGGAAGAGAATCACACGTATAAGCTCGTTCGCATCGACTTAGCCACAGAGCCGACATTTTCGTCACTACTTCAATGAATATTTGCTTTGCTATGGTCTTTGGTGACCGGCGTGAAAGGGTCTTTAGACCCCGCAAAAAAAAGGATCGTGACCCAAATGTTAAGAACCACTGTCTAACATATGTTGTGGCATGAAAAATTACAATGGCCAGTATTTTAATTTAGTGGTGGACAGTTTGTATGGGAACGAATAGATCTATTTAATACAATAAAATTGTAGAAAAGCTCCTGAAGTATAAGATTCTTGGCCACAGCATATCTTTGACAATTCATTTCTGGATTCTCATCTGGATTTGTTTGAGTCAAACAGTGGTGCTGTCAATGGTGAGCAGAGTGAACAATCCCAGCAGGATATTGCCTCTATATAGACATTGTATCATTGCAAACGAAAATCTTCATAGTTGCTGATTACTGTTGGGCTGTAATAAAAGACACCTCTCACATTTCAGTCGCTTCCTGCAGGCGCCACCGTGCTTGCCTGTTCGCGTTCTCTTTGTCCGTCTACGGGTTGTTTTAAATTGGTAAATAGTCGCCATCGGACGTCGAATACACCCTGAGGGAAGTCTAAACTCACTTGCATGTACTCCATTGCACGGTTCAGACCCCATCCTGATGAAACTTTCACATAATAGGTGACGCCTACAATAAAGTACCATATGATTATTTAATGCAATTACTGCTTAAACTAGAAGTTAATCCTATTCTGATCCGCTGGATTGCTGCGGTCCTGTTAAAGAGAAAGATTGTACTAAGATGTGGTAACTGGTCCTCAGAACCGCAAACGATATGTCCAGGCTTGCCAGAGGGATCACCGCTATCACCAGTCTTATTCAACGTTTATACGGTGATGATCACTGAGCAGCAGTTGAATGGAAAGGGAAGGACTTTGTCATTTGCTGATGACATTTTGATTTATCGACGAGGGCGTGATAGACAGGAGATCGCCAGCAATATGCACAAAGAACTTGATCGAATTGCCGCCTGGTGTGATGGTTCCAATGCCTATGTCAATCCTTCGAAGGCATCAGTGTCATGGTTCTCTTTGAACAATCACATTGTCAAGTCGGACTTACCAGAAGTGAAAATGCGTAATAATGTATTGATCAGAACCAACGTTATGACGTTTTTCGGGGTGAGGTTCGATCGCAGCTTGTCATTCAGGGAACACGTTGACCATGTGATAACAAAAGCACGCAAAGGTCTATCTGCAATGAGGATTATGGCTGCTTCCAATATTGAGCAAAGGCTACTAATACTTCTATTCTACGGTCTGGTCCTTTCCCCCATTGAATACGCTCTGGCCATCCTCACTGGCAGTGCTACCCAGATTGAACGACTCGAAAAGGTGCAAAATGAAGCCATGCGCATTATTTTGGGATGTACAAGAGACACATCCTGTGGAGCAATGGGGTATCTACTTGACTTTCCAACAATGAACCAAAGGATCAGGATGTGAAGGGCTCGGGCATATCTCAAAATATGTGCTGATAAGAAACACCCACTGAATCAAGCTCTTTTTAGTGAAAAGGGCGACAGACTGAAGAGGGGGAAATCGTGGCTAGGTCGGGCAGAAGATTTTATTAGGCAAATATGCAGCCTAACTGACATCATACCTGATGCAGATTGGATACCTGTGCCTCTGGCGTTTATTTGTACATTTGCCTGTATTGTCACACTCAACAGGCGATGTAGAGAAGAGAATCCTGTTGCTGTTAATGCAGAGGTCAACGCTCTCATCGGTGAAAATTCAGACGAAGCAGATGCAATAATCTATACAGACGGAAAAGAAGAAGCGCATGGGCATTTACAGCACGCTCAGTGGGCAGAACAGTCAAAGAAGCCAACGGCGCCTTCTCCATGACAACCAGCAGCACGACGATGGAGGTGATGGCAGTGACGCAAGCGTTTGCCTGGCTTGAAACACAAAAATACACCCGTGTATGTATATTCAGTGATTCAATGAGTATGTTCCGGAGGGTTCAGGCAGGTTCATTGCGAAGACAGTGGCTTGAATCATTACAAAAGTCCACTATGCGTGGAGTCACCTTTATTTTTGTTCCGGGACACGCAGGCGTCGATTGAAATGAAAGAGCTGACAGGTTGGCTGGATCCGCTATCACTACCGACGGTCAGCCTATGGATCATGCTGATATTATCAATGCCCTCAGATAAATGGGAAGGATAGAGACTTTGGTGGCAATGAATCCACATCACTTGCCAGAATGGCAGACTTGGGAATTAAGATCGGCACAGCAAAAAACGAGACGCACACCAGACACGCCAGAAGACTTGTTAATCAACATAGAACTGATACTATTAGCCATCGGACGTTGGGGTTCATACTGAGGGGAGGATCTGAGCACCTATGGACATGTCCGGAGTGCAATGAGGATAACCCAACTAACTAACTAACTAACTAACTAACTAACTAACTAACTAACTAACTAACTAACTAACTAACTAACTAACTAACTAACTAACTAACTAACCAAGAGACACCTCACCAAATAACTACAAAAATCAAGCAAAGGCCGCTTTAAAGGCAACTGAATTAAGACCGGATGGGTTTAGATGTGCCCTTCAAAAAACATCGAAGCAATGGCAAACTACTGGACGTAAATTTGCCTAGAAAAACCACACAACAGCCAGGGGCTGTTAGGGTTGGTTCTGCAACGTGCTGTAAAGGCTACGCAACTAACCCTGACATGTAACATAGCGTCTCCACCGATACATTCGTCATCTAATAGCTGAAATTCACAATAGTCAAAGGTTAATTTAAATTTATCTGAAGGGAAAGACATTAACGAAGAGCATTTTTTTTTTTTTTTTTACTAGGAACAAACATACACCTTTTATTTGAATGTTAAACAGTATTCCACATCACAAGCCAGTCTCGAAGACTCTAGATACATCTACAAAAGAACAATGCTACATCAAACAGCACATATCTTCTTGTTTACTTTGCTACTACAACACCAGCTTCCTTACCAGGTGCAAGCATCTCCGCTTCTTCATTCTGTTTTCTTAGCTGTTTCATTTTAATTCTGTGCTTCTCACGAATCTTTCTCGTGCTTCTGAATTTCCACTTCACGCCTGGACAAATAATTGTATCTGGTGACACCTTAAACGATTCCAGTGAAAAGAGCCGTCCATCTAGCAAAGCGAATTAGAGGTGAAATGTTGGACTTGGGTGCTGCAAGTACGGCCGGCATCTTGCTTGCTGGAGGTCAGCGAAGTAAAAGATGTCCGCCCACCTTTGCTTCTACCAGCAGCAGCATGACATTGGAGATCATGGCTGACATACAGGTCCTAGAAAGGCTGAATACTCAGGAATTCGCCAATGCATGCTTTTCCGGCGACTCAGTCAGTATGCTGCAGAAGATCAAGTTGGGAAATATACGGAAACAGTGGCTTCATCTCATACAGCTCTCAACGTTTCGCAAAATCTCCTTTAATTTGTGCCCTATGGTATGCTGGTGTCAAAGGCAATGAGAGGGTCGACACTCAGGCTTGTATTGCTACTATCAGGAACTGGCCATTTATGGACAGGAGAGACATCATGAATGCCATACCACAGACTAAACACTGTGTGGCTTTTACTTTTGTAGAAGATGATTTTCTACTGAACAGACTGCATACCCTGGGTGTACCAACTAGAGCAATGAAACTGGGAGCCAACACTCGTTACATCAACTAGAACAGAATGGAAGTCATTAGCATAAAAATACTTAGAGACATACTTAGGAAAAGATCGGGACACTTTTGGTCATATCTGATGTGCGATGGAGATCATCTTTAAATGAACAATGAACAATGAACAATGGACTTCGCATTTGTAGCGAACTTCTCGGTTCTTTATTAATATCATACTCCCAGATAACGTCACAGGACAGTCCAACATTTTAGAGTGTGGTAAGACTAGGTTTTCCGGCTTTCTGATGCTTTTAATGACCCCAACACATCTATAACTGGACCTAAACCCAACCCGCCTACGTCTCACGAAAGAGTGCAGCCTGTCCCACAACTGCGTGCAGCCGAGGTCCCACGACTGCATGCAGCTTATCTGCCACCGCTTGAAATAGTAGACTGTCCCGTAACCTGTGGGGTAGGATAATAATAAATCACCAACTTCTCTATGTTTACATAAGGATCTTTCGAATAATTGTTGTAACCAATGCTATTCCCGAACATTTTCAACAGGTCGTAACCTGGCGCTGAGGGAAAAGGCTAGACAGACTTCTGTTTATTCAGAACTTATCAACAATGTCCGTTTTAACTTCACTGCCGATAAAGCCGTGGACAGCAGGCCGAACGGGCGACTTCATCAGGGAACAGGCTGTGCGCATACTCTTCAAAGTTCCAGCATGTCAGAAAAGTGGTGTGTCACTTTCTCTCAACCGAGAAGAATAAATAGATATGTTATTTACAATAGGCTAGGCGGTACGTGCAATTGTGTGTTTGTTTGTTTGTTAAATAAATAGATATCTTATTCAAATTCGTTATTTTACAAGATTATTTTACCCAGTGTTTGTTTGTTTGTTTTAGTATCCAGAAGCCATGAGTCGTTAACCCTTAGGCTCGGTATTATGGATATCGCAACCTTTCGGCCTTGATTCCATTGTAATTACCGTAAATCTGGGAGAAATGTGGCTTTTCTGCCTACCCCCGCGAGTAAACACGGACCACAAGGAGTTCGTCACCCGGTCACCACGCAATCCGGTTTAGCCAACTACTCTAGAGAGCCGGGCTATTTTCCCCTGTGAGCAATAGGGGCCCCAATTCGACGGGAGGGGGGGGGGGAGATAGATCATTTGTTTTTCTTACAAGTCCATCCTTGGGCCTCAGTAGTCGTTTCTATCCACCGCCTACTGTCTCCTGTATTAACAATCACATCTAACAGAGTTGAAAAGATCAGCTACCGTCCTCCCACCCCCCATTAAAATAACTAGTCGTCGAGGCGACTTATCAGGCTTGCTAAAACCAAACACCAAAGGCAATAATGGCGTTCCCGGGAAAGTCAAATGTTCTTTGGGCTGAAATTATGGTTAGGGTTAGAATCTTTGTCAGCTCCGATACCCTTAGGGACACAGACTAACCCTAACTCTAACCATACCACCTCTAGAATATTGGACTTTCTCAAAAAATTCAGGATTTCCTATTTTGGGGGTAAATACAAACATTTAGAACCACATTGGGTTTCCTTTAGATTGACACAGCGATGTGTACATAAGATGCTTGATAGCTTTCTATTGATACTGTCATGCGTATATGACTTTCTGTTAATACGTTGATGTGTAAATGAAAAAAATAAAAAATTGGTCCTGCCTTTCTCTTCAATACTTGATGTGTACGTAAAGAATGTATCATTCTTTCTATTGTCCATTAAGATTTCCCCTGCCTGTATGTTGATACTGTAATGTGTACATGCATATTTTATAATGCCTTTTAATTGTCCTAGATTTTTTTTTTCTGGCCTTTCTGTTGATACTGTGATGTGTGCATGGAGATTGTCTATGCCATTATATTGATACCATGATGTATACGTAAGGATTACCCATGGCTGTATGTTTATCTTGTTATGTATACGTGAATATTACCCAGGCCTGTATGTTGAAACCGTAATGTGTAAGTAAGGAGTATCCATGCCTGTATGTTGAAACTGTAATGTGTACGTAAGGATTACCCATGCCTGTATGTTAAAACTGTGATGTGTACGTGAAGATTAACCATGCCTGCATATTGAAACTGTGATATTTACGTGAAGATTATCCATGCCTGTATGTTTATCTTGTGATGTATTCGTGAATATTACCCATGCCTGTATGTTGAAACTGTGATGTGTACGTGAAGATTGCCCTGCTTTTCTACTGATACTGTGATACGTACAATGAATTTTGTCCTTCGCGAGCAGTCAATGGTTATCTACTCCGAAATTTCTCTTTGGTGAGCGTGGATCAGTCCGGGCATGTACAGTTTGCCTACACAGACAGTTCATCGGTGCATCAGGACGTGTACACAATTCTACACCCCCCAAAGATTGTCAGCCGTGTGACCATCGATGCTGGATTCTTTCCAAAAGCGCTGTGTCTATGCGAGGTCGAGGTGTATGGAGGTACAGTGATTTAGGAGTATTGCCTTACCATCAACATCGACATGATCGTCGTCACCATCATCCTCGAGTGCCTTTATGTATCACTCAGAGCAAAAAATGATAGTCCTCAATTCCATCAATTCGGTACACATTTTGTAATATCAGTAAGGAAATCCATTCTGGCACCTTTGACATCTCCCACTAGCGCTGCATGATGCTGCAGGGAGTTACTAGGGGTTCTGGCCAAAACTCAAGGGAAAGGCAGGGCGGATGAACAATCAGACTGTTACTGGTACCATTAAAACTGAAACTATCCTTTTGCTGCTGAAGATGGAGACGAAACGCTAATGGGTGTTTCCGAAGTGCTACGAGGTCGACTATTAATTCAACATTCCAGAACATGTGTACTGCATGCACATCCGTTTGGGTATATCCTACTCATTTGTATACAAACTGTTGGTTCCTTGTCTCCCAGGCAGATGCACTTTGACCCCACAGTTTGGCCCAGCAACCCACAAAAAGAACCATTTTTTTATTTTTATTGTATAACTATTGGTAAAAGCCGTGGTCCTATATTATTTCTCACCTTTCGTGTTTTACTTTATTTAATGTTCGCCATTTATCCCAGGCAACTGTGTACATTAACTGCGCAATGTTTTTGCAGTGTTAGTAGCACAAAAGCTCTTAAAACCACTTTGGATGACAATATATAATGTTACAATTACGAACGTTGTTTTTTCACACGTAATAATAAAATACATATTTTAAAAAGGCATAGATGTGACCCTATTTTAAAAAGCTGTATTTTAAATATGCGGAGCATGGAATCCCCAAACACCTCATCATCATCATCATAAATTTGAATAAGCCAAAATCATCCACTTCCTACTGAGCTAGCTTCTCCTAAATAGCATCAGTTGTAATGATGGCTTCTGTTCATGCTATTGTTTTACTGTGTGTTTCTTAGTGTTGTAGCTCCCATGTCTGTCGAGCCAGGTTTTCTGCAAGTCGTGTGGATGGCCCTTGTTGATGCTTTCCTCTGTTCCATTCTGATAATGTATCTGCTATTGTGGTTGCTCTGTTGAAGTCAGGTGGTTTGTCCCATCGTGTGACATGTCAGTGGTTTCCACTGTGGCATAAGGAGAAGCAGCTCAGTTGTTGTCTTGATCTTGTTCTGAAGTTCGCAAGGTTCTCTTGACGTGCCCAGCAAGTTGTCACTCGTATATGCCTTGTATATTTTGTGGTATTCTTCATATGGTATTTTCTTTGATGACTTTTTTTTTTTATTGTATCTCTGCGCTGTTGTAGATATAGGTATCCCATGTATTTAGCCGCAAGTGGTGCTAAGCCATTTGCGCAATAACTATTTGTGTTGGTCTTCCGGAAATCGCTGTCTGTCTTAGCCAGGAAACACTCTTTGTTAACATGAGGCTTTGAACAATATTTGCTTATCTCCTGTTTGCTGAGACAAGTTGTTCTGGAATGCAAGACATTCTGGCACCGTGAACATGGCACATTGCTCTGGTCTTTGTGGCCTCTTGTCGGACATAAATGTATCTGTGATATAATCCCCATCGGTTGTCACTACAGCCACTGTCTTAGGGTTGTGTCTAGATACTAGTTGCTCAACCATGGTGTTGAGTAAATTTTGGATTTTCTTTTTGTAAATGGTCTTGTATTTCCTTGTCGATTAGTCGCTTGAGAGCCCACCTCCTTATATTGTGGTACAAGGTGGCCACCACCACCATATCGTTCTGTCGCTGTATCTCTTTCTCAGATCCCTGAACCATTTTGCACGTCGTCGTAGTCTTGTTAATTGTTGTCTCTATTCCATCTCAACATTACCATGAAAAGATATCAAAGACAAGACAGTAACTGGAAACGGTGAGCAAAATAATGCTCATAGCATGAGGTAATCAGTAATGTACCAGTCAAAAAATATTAATCCATTTATCATGTTTCTGTGGTCCTAAAGGTTTTCAAACTATATAGTTAGTTTAAAGTAAATACACAGTGAACCCTCACTTAATGAGGCCAATCAAATGGCGACATCTCCCATCTCTGATCCACAGTGTACTTAAATGGGCTTGCGGCATCCAGCTCCTTCATTTTGCTGTCAGTTTAACACATGCTAACACAACAGAAGCATCACAAGGGTTCTGATGCTGTTTATCAAATCTAACAGTTAATTTAATATATACCACTGAAGTTGTCTTGTATACTATAGTGCGTTCCAAAAGTCCTGGAGAAATTTAAAAATATGTAACCATTTAACCTTGTTTTCTAAGTTGTTGAAACTAAGCATGCAGCCTGCTAATATGTATGTCCGTGTATTTGTGGGTTTTTTTTAAAAATGTAAACACACATATAGTTTTTACATGATCTACTTTCCGAGATATGAAAACACAGACACCGATTTAAAACAACCAGGTAGCCTGCTTACAATACCGTGAGAGAATTTAGAAAGAAGAATTTGAGGCATCGTATTGCACTCGTGTTATATTTATGTGTTTTCCTCTTAGGTGGCCATCTACAGCATAAGTCTCGTGTAATTTCTGGATTCTTCACTGAGTGGGAAATAAGCCATCAAAGCAATTCAGACATTTGCTTGCTTTTAAGAAAACAGCAGGATCTAAGCAGTTATAAATTATAGAAGAATAAGGATATGAAAATCTAAGACCACGTGCGCAAATTCGCGTTGATCTTTACATCAATTTTTGGAGGTATGTGTTAAAGTTTGACGGCATGAGTTTTACAAGTCAATATTCATGTAATTTGTAGGTACATATTTAATAAAAGTAACCTTTATGTTTGATTGTTTGTTTGATTTTGTTTATCATCAGATTCTGCCATTTTTTACGTACTCATTCAGTGCTGAGCGAAATTCGGTCGCAAACACACGTTCTTTTCTATCATTTAACTTCATTCAAGTCCACACGTTCTTTGTTAAGTCCCTGCAAAGCTCACGTTTCTCACTTTCTTCTATCGCACACTCTTGTTACATTAACCCAGGATATCATGCGTGTCAGTTAGGTGCCTTCTATCTCATACTGTTATGACCGTAATGTCGTGGGACCCATACAGTCTCTGCTATACGCTAGGAGTTCTCAAATCAGAAATAGCTAAAGTAATTTCTGGCTGGTACTCAACGAGTGGGAGCTGCCGTGGTGTAGCGGCTAGATGCACGCCTGTGAATCGGAAGATCGTGGGTTCGGGTCCTAATTGAGCTGGTTATTTTTTTTTTTAAATGACCATGAATGGGTTCGAGAAAAATTCATAAGAAGTAAACGCGACGGGCGTTATGTTGACATCAGTCACCGAGTGCGGTCTTGTTTATAGAATACTAGCTGTACCCGTCCACGCGTTGCTGTGGCATAGTTTGGCTAAATG